AAGTTCTCAGAGCCTGCCACACTCTCTGCAGGCATTGCCTCCTTCCTGACAAGTGATACCCAGCCCGATGGCACTGCCACCACATGCCAAAATGCCATGTCTTCTACGAGGCCCAGAGTCAAGTTCTTTAGGAGCCCAAGCAAAGAGCTTAGGCAGAAGCCAGCTAATGCTATTGAGTCCTTCTTCCAAAAAGTGGCAGAAAGGCAGCAGTCACAGACAGTGGCAGCAAACAGCCTGCCTGCTGCTACCACTGCAGAGTCGCCTGTGCCCAGCTCCCTGGAGCACCAAGAGAGAGATGGCATTGGACTTGCCTCTGTGCAGTGTGACCTAGAGTCCCCAGTGAAGGGGAGTCCCAGAGCTGGGAGTCCTACTTCTCCTTATGAGAGTCCTCCCTGTGAGAAACTGCTGTCTGATGCTACACAAACACCTTCGACTCCACGCAGCTCCAGGAGGACCCTTCTGAAACTAGAGCCAGCTCTGGAGGAAAACGAACAGAATTTGCCACCCTCTCCTGAGCTTGCCTTGCTCCCTCCCACCTCGCCAGGGGACCAGCAGCGCTGTGAGAAGTGTGGCCAGCTTGTGGTGGTGTGGGAGTTCCCAGAGCACATGGACTACCACTTTGCTCTGGAGCTGCAAAGCACCTTCCTGGAGCCCAATGCTCCCATAGCTCCAGCAGCACCTACCAGCCCAAAGGCTGCAGCTTCCAGGTCTGCCAAGGCAAAGAACAAGCCCAAGATGCCAGCAGGGTCTAGTGCAAAACGACCCAGAGAAGGTGTGACAAGAACTTTAGATTTTTTCTTTAAGCCATTACCTCCTTAACTCCCAGACATACTGGGAATTTTTAGATAATCAGTAAGTATTTTTAAATAATCAGTGTTTTTAAATACAGTTAAAAGTTTTTATACTGCCTGTCACATTTTAATACAGAAAAGTCTTAATAAATTATTTCTATCTCAAGTCTTAGAGGAACCGTAACTTGTGAGTTGTGTATGATGCTGGATGTACCCAGTTTAGCTGGTGGCAGCTAGCTTGTCTCTGCCTGCTCAATGCTGCCAGAAGCTGCATTGTATTCTCACCTTCTCACCTAGTGTAGGTATTTCCATAGCATCACTCATAGCTCAATAATTCTGCTCCTACAGCTTTCTGGTCGTACTATAAAAGCAGGCACTGTAGGGACAGTGGCTTATCCCAGGGAAGCTCCAGCCCAGCCTAGGCTTGAACCCCTCTCCAGTCACTTTGTATGAAGTCTTCACCTCATGGTGGTTCTCCTCGGGCTGCAGTTGCAGGCCTTGCCCGTACTGTGTAACTTACACATGCTAGCTTAGCCCTGTGCTTCCTTCTCCCCCTTCCACCTGGAAGACACTGATTTTTATTCCTCTGCAACGCATCAGGATTTTTGTTATAGATGCTTTGGCAATTCCCTCTGTATAGCAATCCATTGTGTGATGCTTACCACCAGCTCTGGAGCACAGAAGAAAGATGACTCTTGTCAAATAAGATTTGAGGAAGCTGGAGCTGCACAGGCATACTTTTTGGTGGGCTTTCGGAAATCTCAGTAGTAGTTCCTGATCATTGCTATGACCCATGAACAATCCACTGCTCGAGTCCTTATTGGAAGGGATGGGAAACATGCCAGAGTCACCTAGCCCTCTGTGAAATCTTTCCTCCCTTCCAGAAAGCGTGTATAACCACATTTTTCCTCCTGCCCAGACTGGGTGATACTAAATGCAGCTTGATGACAGGTATGTTTTGATTGTGCTCTGACGAATGAGTTGTTCAGCTCTCTGGGCCACAGTTACCATCAGAGTAGCCCGCAGTGGCCCGCCAACGCAGCAGAATATTGTGGAGGGGACAAGTGGGCACTGAGAGAGGGCAAGGCTCACTCCAGGGCAAGGGCTGTGCTCAGCCTCACTCCCTGGCAGGGCTCAGCTCTATGCTGCTGCCAGTAATTGGAACTCAGCCGATGCCACGTCAAGGCAGCAGGGGGTGGGGTTTAGAAACACACTTGCAGAGAGTTTCATCAGCTGCAGGCTTCCGCTCGCTGAGCAGGGGGAGGAACCTTTCAGGCAGCAGATAATGATGCCAAGTGCAGCTGTATTTACATGGGCTGTTTCCTGCTTGTGGCCGTTGAGCTGCTCTCCTGACAGCTGGTGCTGGGAAGCTGCTACGCCACTGTCAGCGGGGGTCTAATATTTGGCAAAACAGTTGTTGCAGGATTTCAGGAAGCACAAGCATCTCATTTCGGTGCGTGCAGCTCTGCTGGTAACCATCAGAGGAAAGAATTACAGAGTCACTCCCATTAATGACAGCCCTCATGTTGCAAAGTGACAAGTTTCCTAAAGTCCTCATGTAAAGAAAAGCAGCAACCAGTCTGGCAGGGTTGCCTCATGCTCCTGTGACAGTGACATGTCTCATTTCCTAAGTGTCTGGAAGGGCCAGACTCAGCAGATGCCACTACCTGACAACAAAAACAAGTTGAGAACAGGCAAATCGCTTCAGTGACACAGGTCACCTCCACATGGAAGCCCTTCTGCCTCTGCTTGTCCCAAGGGAACGACTTGTTCTTGCGGAGAGAAGGCAGTCACAAACCCCTTGCTAAGGTCGAAGCTATTTTAAAAACAAACCACCAGTTAGATGTGTGCCCTAGAAATCATCCCTTTAATTAGGCTCTGGGGGAATTTGTGGCTGCAAGGAAGCACCCGCCGCAGCCAGTTCTGCCCACAACAGCCTGAAGCGCTGTGCTCAGCGTGACGTGGCTGCCTGTCACCCCAGGCTGCACACCCAGGCTTGCTCAGATAAGCCGGGAGAGCACGGTTGTAAACAGCAGCGCGTGTGCATTCCTTCCACGCCACAGGATGGTATTTATAGGGCTGAATGCAGCAAGCTTCGGAAAGGGTGAATGGCAGCCATCTCCAACCGTGACCCAGCTCCAAGGGCAGCAGGGCAAGAGCCCAGCTCCACCCTTGCTCATTGTACAACTCAGACAGCAAAGCTCAATAAAACATCTTTATTCTGTACAATTATATATAGATGCTTGGGGAACAGGGACAATAATCCCCAGCATTAGAAAATTCAAGACAACAAAACAGCAATTATGAAGAGCATGGCACCAGGAACAGTCATGCCACAGATGGCAGGGACAAGGTGAAACCAGCCATCAGCTATTTCAGAGAAGGTCACAGCGCTCCCTGCCTGCTTTGGGGCAGAAAACCCCAGGGCTGCTGCAAACAGCTGGAGTCTCCCCCACCTCCCTCCCAGGCAGCTTTCTTTGTGACCCACTAGCACCAAAGGGAAGAGCCTGCTGGCAGCTGCGTCTGTCCTTGCAGGCATGGGTGAAAGACCATGTCACCATAACACTGAGACCACTGCCAGGGTGGGAAGAGGGATCCTGCTTGAGCAGGGACCCTGAGCCAGCAGTTCCTGGCTCACTGCTAGGGCAGTGGGGAAGAAGCAGAGTTTTCAGCTGGGTCAGTGCTCCCCCCAAGGGACAGGTCACTCTGGTCACTACTGAGCTGCCTCTGAATCCCTTCACATATCCCACCATTTCACCAGCTTCCCCATGCCTCACCGTGCCCTTCGCGGGGTGCAGCTACCACCTCCTCAGCTGCTAGAGCCCAGCCCAGGGGAGAGCACCGTTTTGTGACATCCACAGATCCGCACGGGCCGCTCAGCCCCGCAGGCACTGCCTATGCCAGCTGCCCAGAACCACAACTTGCTCTCAGGATGGCAGAAGGGCTGTTTGGGTGTCCAAGCACTACTCCAGGCCCTCACCCTTCTCTTCGGTCAGGGCTGGCAGGCCACCACGCCATGCAACAGGGCTGGCTGCAGGCCTGTTGGTCTAACAGTCAACAATAAAACCAAAAGCCTATGTACAGCTCTACAGCCCCTGCTGCACCCTCCAGGCTACGAGTGGCCTGGAGTAACAGTCACACAGGGGAGCTGCACGACAGCGAGTGGCAGACAAACGTGCTCCACTCTTTGTGCACAGAGTACTTGCTGGCAACATCAGCTTTCCTCTGACAATAAACCCCAGTGGCAAGGGCAAGAAAATAATTCTTCCTCCAGGAGAAACAGAAATAAAAATCACACCACTGTCAAATCACATCTAAACAATACAATCACCTGGTTTTGTGCTCGTAACACAGCCTGGCTGCTCACACTTAACGTGTGAGGAGGAAAGCTGGGGTGGGACCTGGCACAGCCACACCAGGGTGCCCACTGCAAACCACCGCTGCCCACGGGCAGGTGACATCAAACATCCGTGGAAACAACCTGCACGCACCAGCACAGACCCAGGCCCCACTCTGCTCCGCAGAACGGCCTCCTGCCCAGCTGCTGCCAGGAACAGATGCAAGTGCAAACTCTGCCTTCATGCCGTTACATCAGAGGCTGTGCCGCTCGGAGCAGCCACGGCTTCCCAGGAGTCAGAAAGCGGGATGCTGGAGGAGGGTGTGTCCCTGTGAGTGGGGAACAGGACATTTGTCCCAACAGTAAGACACTCAGATTGGAGTAATGCAAAACCAACACACAAATGGACACACAGCAGATTAAAGCCAACCAAGATTAAAACGGTTAAAAAGTGTTCTGAATGCATTCTGAGAGGTTCAACCAAGCTCCTCCTGTGGGTAGCAGAGCCTCTTCCATCCCCTGCCCACAGGGATGTGCTTCAGGATGACTCAAGACAGGATTGTTATCAACACAGTGCTCAGAGAGCAGAAATGGACCAGATCTTGTGTCAGAGATGGAAAAGCATCTCTTCACTGCTAGTCTTCTTCTGCTCCTCCCAACCGGTAATTTTCAAACAGTAAACAAAGACAGAACTTGCCTGCCCAGGTCTGCGGGTGCCTCTGATCTATTCTGAAGGAGGGCAGGGTAACAAAAGCTGCAGGCGACGTGGAGAACATGCTGAACTTGCCCCATCTACGGCACCGAATGCGATAAACTCTCCCAGGCTCCATCTCACAGTGCTGAGGAGGTACGCCCACGCTAGAACAGGACAGCGGCAGCTCCAGACGTCACTGAGAGAGCCACGGGAGCTTCCATCCTTCTCCCTGGTTGCTGGTGAGTGGACATCTCTCTGACCTAGCAGTAGTCAGAAGCTCAGCTGTCCAGGCCCTAGGGACTCCTCCAGGCCGTTTTCTTTGGTGGTGATGGCTTGGAGGTCAGTGACATGCCCGATGCCTTTGGTGACTCCTTCACGGAAAAGCAGCTTGGCTCCGATCTTCAAGTATTCGGGATGCTTGATGAACCTGAAACGGACGACTGCCTTCTCCCCTGTCCGCAGCTTGTCCTGAAGAGAAAAAGGTGAGAGCTTAGACCCATGTACCATATCAACGCATGCAGGAGAGGTGCATGTGGATGCTGAGAAAATGAGGCAAATGAGCAGTTTGCCTCCCTCAGACTGCATGGCTTGAGCTCTTCCCTTTATTGTGTGTATAGGGGGAGAGAGGAAGACACAAGCTCTGGAGAATGGAGAGTTCACCTCCCTTCACAGGCTTGCTGTAGTCCATCACACGGCTTGTTTTGTGAGAAGGGAATTCTTTAACATGTTAGGAGGAAAATCAACCGAACGGGCAGGATAACGGGGTGGAATGTCCTCATACGAAGTGACACAGCTACTGAACATACCAGTAGTCCCTAGCTTTACTAGAGGGCATGGTAGAATCCCAACAAGCCCCACAGGGAGGTCCATCTTCCTCCCCTTTACTTCCATGCCTACCTTTCCATGGATCTTCTCTACGACAGCTGTCTGTCGCACATTCCCCACGTGCACTGTCACCTGAAAGCCCTTCCGGAAAGTCGTGGCATGGAACAACAGCACGATCTCGGCTTCAAACACTGAGCAGATGGTAGGGTTCATTTCTGGGCTCACCATGACCATGCCCTGCACAACAACACAAAGCTCAGACCAGTCAGACCAATCTCCTTGCTTCTGAACAGCCCCCAAAACCACAAATGCATCTCCGCTCTGTGACTTGGGCTTGCATCCCATTCTCAGCCTTGTACTCATCCCACTTCATAGCCTGGCCATTTCCTCCCCTTCCAGCAAGTTTTCTGAAAACACCTCTACTTCATTCCCACCCTGCCAATGGGGGATCTCCAGGGAAGCCTCCAGTCCTGCTCGCTGGACCAGTGAGCAACCTGGCAACAGCAGGACTCACCTTGCGCAGCAGGGAGCGGTCAAAGGGCCCGAGGGCCAGCGTGGCTGCCTGCCCGGCCCGCAGCACACGGCAGGCTGAGCGGTTGCGTTGGATACTGCACACTTTCAGCCGCAGGAACTTCCCATCGTCCGTGGGACCAACCACCAGGTTCTCTCCTTCTCGGCAGATCCCACTGCCCAGGGCAGAAAAGCAGGACAGAGTTCATCAGGAGACAAGGAAGAAGTTTCATCCTCCAAGATCAACCTGCACAAACTCTCCGGGGCCAAGGAGGTGAGTCTTACCCAGGACTAACTGGGATGCAAAGCTGGTGGGAAGAGGGATTTCCTACAGTAGAAGTGAAAGCCACACTATCACTCCTAAGAATACCAGATTTCTCTGAGAGGGGCCATTCTGCTCCAGTGCTCTGCCCCACTGCGTTGTTTCTGCAGTGGGTGCCTGTTCTGCATGGAAGTGCTGGTAGCCAGACTGCACTGATCATGGCCAAACACTGAGGGACAGCTGCCTTCTCATGGGGTAGCACGCAGTTAACCTCTGCTGAGATCAAAGGACTTGCCTCCTACATTTCCTCCCCCTGCTTGAGGAAGGAGGAAAGCAACACCTTGGTATCATGACTAACCTCTGTTGACTCTGGGTGCCAGCATGCCTTCCTTCAGCACGCTGCAGGTCACATTCCTAATCCAGCAACTTCAGAGCAGGCTCCCTGCTTGCCACCACATGAGCAATGGTCTGCTCACGGCACCTCCAAGCACCTTGTGAGGGCTTTCCCCTCACTTGGCTCAGTCATCTGGCAGCATTCAGGACTGAGCCTTGCTCTGCTGCCACCTGCAGAAGGTGACTCCAACCTTGTGGGAACCCCAGCAACCCATTCACACCCACTCTTGCCTGCCTGGCCTCACTTACCTCGACAGAGTTCCTCCCACAACAGTCCCCACCTCTGGCACAGTATAAATTTCATCGACCTGCAGAAAGGCAACAGGAATAAGCATCTCAGACAGCTGTGAAATAGCACTCCAGAATGAGGGCAAGGTGCCTGGCCCTTGTGTGGAGGGAGGTGAGCTCTCTGCTGGTCATCAGACACCATCTCAGAGCTTCCACCAGCTTCCACTGCTTTCCCATTAGAGGAACCTCTGCCTTTTAAGTGGCAACCAGAGAAACAATCTCATCCCTGAGACAGGCATCCCTTGGTTAGGACAGAGCCCAGCATAACAGGCTTTTTTCAAGGACTGAGTTCTTTCTTTAATGTTTCCCCATAGTCCTGGAGTTCACCATATCCCTCCCCATGTTGTTCAGAGCCCCCAGATGTTTGTCACATGTCCCAGCAATGAGTGCAGTACCGGAACTGGAAACTACCCTTGCGCACCTGAAACTCTGTGAGTTGCTGCATTAGTTCTTCCTGCTCTTTACTGTTGGTCAGTGGAGGGAGGATATTGAGGAAGACTTTTAAGAGATCCAGGTTCTCCCCAGAAACGCTGGACAGTGTGAAGATTGGGGTGATGCTGTTAGACACAAATAGACAGGAATAAGCAGAAAGCCAGAGCACAGCTGCAGAAGGTGGCTGGGATTCTGAATCTACTGAGTCCAGCAAGAAGACAGAGACTACAGTGATAAACGGCCAGAGCAGGAGGGCACCTGGGCCAGGTACAACTCTGCAGTAACCTGTGCCTCAATGGTTGGTTGAGGCACCAGTCCCCTGCCAGCCCATATTCTATCCTGCAGAAGTAACTCCAGGGCACCTTCTGCTCCCAGAGCCCAGGAAAAAGGCCTGGGAGGTGAAAATGCCTTCTTGGAAAAAGCAAAGGTAGGAGAACTCATGAGGAACCAAGATGTGCTTGCCTCCCCCATGGTCACCCTTCCCCAGCTCGGCACAGCAGCCCAGTCTGAACTGGCTGCTCCAAGCAGAAGAAAGGAATGGTTCCTTACTTGGGAGACTGTGCAAACTGCTGTGCTGCTGTAACGGCATCGTCATCTGAGTTCACAAGCAGGGGGAGCTTGTTGCATCCCGGCTGCTTCAGGATTCGCTCCAGCTGCTTCACTGTCCGTTCCACGGTGGCTTTCGAACACAAGTCAACTTTGCTGATGACAATGAAGAAGGGGACCTTCAGGGCCATGGCCAAGCCCAAGTGCTCTCGTGTTGTGCCTGCTGCAGGAGACAAGTGAGAGTGTGGGTGCAGTAGCCATCACCAGCGTTCCTGGTTCTCCCACAGGCCCACTCTAGAGATTTCACCCGAACTGCTTAGTTCATCAGGCAATGAAAAAGCAAAATGATTCTTTTAAACAAAGCCAAACATCAGTCCAGAAAAATAAAAACAACCAAGACTTTTTGTGACTGATCTGTTTGCTTCAGAAAGATGCAGCAGTTTTCACTCTTGGGCTAGAGTTTGCCAGAAAACAGCCACAAAAATGTCAAGGAAAGATGTGGGAAAACTCCAGCTGCCTTTTTACAAGGCTTCAGGATTCAGCACCCCTAAGGATATGTCAAAGGTTTTTGGGGGTTTTTTTTTCTGACAAACACAGCCTCAAATTCCAAACAAAGCCTCTCTGTCCAGGGTCCAGTTTAATGCGGTCTACAGCTGGTAAGAGGATCCCAGCTCTGCTCCCCTCCCAGGCATTCACTGGCTTATGAGAAATCAGCAGAGGCTGCACTTTTTTTAATTTTTTTTTCTGGCAACTGTTCCCAGCTAACAAGGACCCACTCCCCCCATTCTCCATTTTTCTTCACACTTTGCTGTCAATCCATGCAGGGCTTATGATAAATCAGCAGAGGCTGCACTTTTTTTTATTTTTTTTTTCTGGCAACTGTTCCCAGCTAACAAGGACCCACTCCCCCCATTCTCCATTTTTCTTCACACTTTGCTGTCAATCCATGCAGGCAGGGCAACACTCACCAATGCCAGTGTTGGCGCTAACCACCAGCATAGCAAAGTCCGGGCAGTAGCTGGTGAGGCCAAAGATGGTTGTTTTCAGATACTTGTGATGGCCAGCCAGGTCAATGAAAGTGATCATTTTGGAAGAACTCTCACAGATTTCTTCTGCTGTTCGGGAGTCACTGTAATTTACCACCTGAGGAACATAAGGACTCGGTGAGAGGAGGAGCGCCAGCAGGCAAGTGAAGAAAACCCAGCTCTTATCTATCCACTCTGACCTCAGAATTAGTGAGGAGAGATGATTCACCATGGCGGGTGCAAGAAACGTCTGTGGCAAATTGACAAGTAGCACTCAGGTTCGGCTAAAGGGACACAGAGCTGTGCCACCTCTCTTCCCTCCTGTCCCACTCACAGTCGAACAGGAGGATAATCCTATTCTCCTCCAGCTTTCTGAGTTCAGCAGCCCACTCCCTCACCTCTCCTTTGCTGTTGAAGCCGAGGATCTCAAAGCTGATGCTTGACGTCCTTCCTGACTGGATTTCATGGAGATGCCGGAAGAGGTTGAGGCGCGCTCTGCCCCGCCCGTTGTCCAGCTCTCCTTGCGTTAGGACACCCAACAGGGTTGACTTCCCTGAGTCCACGTTCCCCAGCACAGCTACTCGCAGGTCTAAGAACTATAGGAAGAAGAACAGAGAAATCATGAAACTTCACTGCTGCTGTGCTGGGTGTGCACGAACACTACACGGCAGCGGAGATGTGCCTCAGAGAGCTTCCCTCCACAATGGACACTGTGCAGTGTCATCTCACTCGGATTCTGCTCTTGCTCCCAGCAAACCACTGCCCAGGAGTAGTGATACACTCTCTAGAGTTGTGACGTGACACATTAGGCTTTGCTATCACAAAAAAGGCCATGTGCTGCAACAGGACCTCTAAATCCTTTCTTGTATTGCACACTGGCCTGCATCAGAACTGTTGTCGAAGAAGAGAAATAATTTCTTATCTGTGATTCAGGCAATCTGCCTCAACCACAGTTTTGGAGATGAAGAGCTGCCTCCCTCTGGCAGCTCTTTAAAGAATCTGCTATGTGTCAATCTATGACAAAGTCCCTCTAGGGTTTGGGCTCCTATCCCAAAAGGAAGCTGCTTGTATGAAGCCTCTACGTCTCCAGCAGGAGAGGATGGGCAAGTCACAGGTCCCTACCTGCTGGTTGTCAGGCACCTTTCGGACAAGCACCTCCGTTATCTTCCTTGGAACGTCGCTGTCGTAATCGACCTCTCTCTCGCGCAGCACCGTAATGTCAGCCCCAACCCTACCACAAACACAAAAAGAAGGAGTGAGACACACATTTGTACTCAGCAGCTCTTGCACCTCTAGAACCCCAGCTGGCAAAGCGAACGGGATGAAAGCTGGGGATAGCAGGGAAGGAGCCTCCAGCTTCCAGCCAAAAGCCCTAAAACTGCCTTCTTATTTCCAGAGCCTCATGATGATGGAATTTCTGTCATACGCTAGCTCTGTAGAATGGAGCCACCACCTCCTCAGGGGACTCCCGGGGCCAAGCCTCTCTACTGGAGGCTGTTTATGCCCGAGGGTCCTGCAGATGAAAGGGAATGCGTACTTCTCTGCCATACGGCGCAGTGTCTTGAGCGAGGCACGCATCTCCTCCTCCGAGAGGCCCACCAGCAGCCCGTTGTCCTCCACGCCGATCTGATAGACGGCCTCACCTCGGCCTTCCTGCAGTCGCCACTTCATCTGTGTCACCAGGTGCTCAAAGCGATACTGCGAGGGATTCACTAGCTTCAGCTGCGTAACAGAGGGAGCAGTTGTAGTCACCGCCTGGATGCAGAGGGAATCCCATTGCCCAAGACAGCAACTCCCTAAGCCAACACCAGGAAGCAACGTCCCCAACTCTGACCCCCCTCTAGAAAACACAGCCTGTGTTGGTGTCTGCACAGAAGCCACAGGTCAGGTGAGAAAGGGGTTCATAAAGGTACACAAATATGGGAGGAGAACTTCCCTGCATCTTGCCAAAGGGATCTGTACCCTGCCTGCTGTGGGGGTGAAGACAGCGCTGTGGGACCTATCTGTGACGCAGGAGCCAAGTAAGCACAAATGGCAGAGCAGCCACAAGAAAGTGACAAATTATTATCAGGGACACCTGCAGTTCTCTCTCAAAAGGAAGAAGATTTTAGGAAAAACAGGATTTCAGTGGCTCTCATCTCCTAAAAGAACTTCCTTAAAATGAGTACTGAGATCAGACTCTTCCAGCTCAGCACACTGGGTATTGGTAGGCATGGAGGCACAGAAGATGGCTGAGAGCTCCTTAGTACAGCCTCCACTTTTCTGTCCCTTCCTTCCTGTCTCCATATAGCATCCTTCCTTTCTGTCCCCATGTTCCCCATATGCTGTCTTTGGTGAAGTTACTCACTGCAAAATAACCCTCTGGGAGGAAGACCTCCTTCTGCAACCTCAAAAGGCTCACCTTGTACTCGATGTTCCCATCTTCTGCCTGGTCAGAGAATGAAACAAGACAGAAAGGTTAGATGCTGTGCCAGCAGGGACTTGTGTAGGCATTAGCTGCCCAGATACTCTGCAGCTCGTGCTGATGGTTTCAGAGAGCGCAAAAATGGCAGAAATATACTGTGTTAGGTCACAGCCTCTTCTGCCATTCATTCCTACACTCAGCTGGAACTTACTTTAGGTTTGTTTCTGCTGTTTGCATCCCACATAATGAAAACCAGAGGATAAAACTAGAGAGTGACACAGGGGGTAATACTGCTTTTGGCGGATTTTTTTTACTGCCAGTAAAGAATAGGGCCAGTCTAATAGCCACAGAGAGAGAGTTCCAGTTTCAAAAAGGAACAGGCCAGCAGATGATTAAAAGTCTCCCCCCTCACCCAACCATGACACCCACATCATCCCACTCCCACCCCATCCAGCAGCTTCCATCCACCCAATGTGTACAGAAACAGGGGACTGGGAACAAAAGTTGCTGTCTCCTCTGCTGCACACTGATACCCTCCCTCACTCAATTTTTTCATTTATTTCATTAATATCTTCTCTCAGTGAGAGAGAGGACTACAGACGTAAGGAAGAAAGCTACTGACTTCTTTGCAGTACAGCAAGCTGGTCACTGGACTGCTGGTTCTGGAGGACCAGACCTGACTGGGACCGTCTGTGCACAATGGGCTCAGAAGAACTTTCCCAGGAAGGGCTGGAGCCACACTGGGTTGTCACTGAAAGGCCTGGATACTCATCAAGCCCACTCCAACCACAACAGGCTCTAGCTTTCCAAAACAGAATGGATAGCCAATATTGAAGTAACTTTCCCTCTGATTCAGTCTGAAGACCACTGAGAAAGGGCTGGAGCCTGCAGGAAGCTCAGTACTCCGTCAGACTAAACCAGAGTGCCAACACTAGGCACTTCCCTTTCCTCTGGACACAGATTTGCATGTCAGGAGAGGCAACAGCCCTCTCCTTGCCTTCTAGCTCCGCTCCTAACCACAGCAGTGCTTATAATGGCAAAAGTCCAACAGAGGCAAGTTCCAAATTGTCAGCTCAGCTCCCGGGCAGCGGAGCTATGCAGTGAGAAAAGGGTACTTGCGGAAGGTTTTCCGCTCTTACCATCTACCAGCTTTCCATCTCTAAGAGAAACACTGCGTTTATGCATTGCACTGTTCTCTAAATAAGGGGGTGGGTCTCTCTGAAGGCAGCCGATACCAGAAAAGCAACAAGCCTAGACTTGCTGGGCCAGGCAGGGTAGCTGGGGACAGGAAGCTGTGCTGGAACCGCAGGGGGCTGCCCAACCTCCAGCTGAAAGGAACAAAAACTGAACTGCAGCTGTAGGGGACGATCCTGCCTGTGGAAAACATCTAACAGTAGCAAAGCCTCGTTTTCCCTTCTTGCCAAGAGTCACAGCCCTGCCTTGTGGAGGAATTGCTCCCTCCCAGCGCAGGCTCTTACATATTTTATAGAAAGCTCGCTGAGTAGAGCCAAGCATTCACTCTGGGGCAATGTAACGCTCCCCACAGTGGCAGTCATCTTAGTGCTGTGCCAACTGCCTGAATTAACCAACAGAGCCACTTATTACCAATGCCATTTTTTTCCGCTGCAAGAGGCAAGTGCCTCACCCTCTGTCAGTACCATCTGCATCTCCATGTAAAAAAAAAAAACCCCAAACATTTGCAAATTATCTGGGAAAGGAGTCGCTAGAGCCCGCTGAGCAATGTCTATGAGTTTGGCAGCTGGAAAGGGACTTACACCCACCAGATCAGCACTCAGGGAGGGATGCAAACAGGATGCTCAAGACGGTGAGTTGAACAAAGCTTTATTTCCAAAGCTACTTAATTCCCAGGCGGCAAAGCATCCTCAGAGGGACACCAAGCAGCAAGACCGCACTAATGGCCAG